AAGTTGAACCTGACTAGCATGTGCTAATAGGTCTGATGCAGTGCTCCTTCCCTTTTAAGTGAATGTGGCTTGGACCTGACTAGCTTGGGTCAGTGACTTAGGCCGGTAGAGGACAGTTACATAGATTATGATACATACTGGCATATGTGTAGACTTGACCTTCCTAGATGACTACTGAGATATTAGATATGAAATTCAGAGACCAGTTGCTAAAAAGATTTAAGGCAAACAGACAGGATATTGTAGCACTAAATGAATTCCAAAGGGTGAGGAACAGTGTGCAGAGGCTTATAAAAGGCGCAAAAGCAAAGCACTATTGCTCAAAAGTCAGAGTACAAGAATAACCCTTGAAAGCTCTGGCAAAAACTAAAACAGTTGGGGTATAGCCATAAACCTGTAGATAGATCTAACATAGTACAAAATGTCGATAACTAGGTATGCCACGAAACAACTAAAGTGGCAAATTGTTTTAATTCATACTACACAAGTGTTGCATCAACACTAGTAAATAAACTGCCAGCTGCATCAAATACCTTTAACACAGACTCTGATAAGTTTAAAACATACTATACCAATAAAGGGGTAACCCCAAACAGTTGTCAACTAGTAAGTGTCTCATGACTTTATGTAAATAGAACTAAACAGGTTAAACTCAACTAAGAGCACCGGCCCTGATAACATCCCATCTAAGTTCCTAAAAGATGGTGCCTCTGAATTGCCAATCTCCATTGCTCACACAATAAATTTGTCCATCACCACTAATACCGTACCAGAGGGGTTCAAGGAGGCCAGAGTTACTCCTGTCTTCAAGAAAAAATAGTAGGTCTGATGTCAGCAACTATAGGCCTGTTAGTATACTCAGTGTAATATTTAAAATTCTCGAGAGGGCAGTGTACTGTCAAGTATCTTAATGACAACAACATTCTTCAGTTACCAATCAGGCTTTAGGAGTTCTTACTCAACCGACACCTCCCTAATTAATCTGATGGATTACATGAGAACTGAAATGTTGATAGGGAACCTCAAAGGTATGGTGACCTTAGCCTTGCGGAAGGCCTTCGATACCGTCAACCACAACATACTATGTAAGAAACTTCAAGCTATCAGCATAGGTTCTATAGACTGGTTTAAACCCTATCTTAGGAATAGGAAACAAATTGTCAAAATCAACATAACAGAATCAGAACCCCTGCCAATAGAATGTGGAGTTCCCCAAGGTAGATTAGATTAGATTTTGCCACCGAAGTGGCTAGTTTATTGTGCACCCTATATCCATCCTGTGGACGGTAGCGCGAGAGCATATGGATACACAAAAGGCCTAGGAACTAGGCCCCAAAGGGTTAACAGGAATACATATGGATTTATATCTACATATCTATAGTTCACTTATCTGTTACAAGCAAATTTAGGAAATTTGCTTAGTATATCTGGTATCTTATTTTCATTAATAAGATATCTTGACATGTCACATAGGTTATTATACTGTCTGTCTCTGTATTCCTCAATAAGTGGACAATTAAGCACAGTGTTCAAGAGAGTGACCATATGCTTGATCACATAATTTACATTTAGTTTGATCATCATCTGTGTGTCTCCCAAACTGCCAGAAGTACTTGTAACCAAGCCTAAGCCTGGCCACTACAACATCAGTCAGTCTGTTCACATAGCAAGTTGCTCCATAAACATACTTATCTACGTTCATGTTATCATAGTGGGTTATAGATCTACTCAAGCTTCTAACTGCATTCCTATAAATCATTTTCATTATTTACTTCTCTCCTAATATTATTCCTAATGCTAGACACAGTTATACCAAAGTTATATTCTACATTCTCCTTCTGGGTACTCTTCTTGGCTAACATATCAACTTTATCATGAAGGAATAATCCAATGTGTGATGGGATCCATAGCAATTGTACATTAATTCCTTTTTCCCTAATTTTTGAGTATCTATACCTGGTTTCTCCAATGAGCATGTTGTTGGAGTCATTATATGAGCCAAGAGCCTTCAATGATGACATAGAATCAGTAATGATGATAGAGTCAAGCTCAGTGTCATAGGTTAGCTTTAGCACCATTAGGATTGCAAACAATTCAGTTTGCAGTGTAGACGCCCAGTTGTTAATTCTTATGCCTAACTCAACAAATTTATTATCGTTTTTAACGAGGGAGGTGGCAACAAGAGCAGATGCAGCCCTGCCAGAAGACTCCTGTTTAGATCCATCAGTGTATATAACTTGTGATAACTTATTACTACCAGCTAGGTGAAAAATTTCTTCTTGAGCAATTGCTCTAACAAGAGATTTAAGGAAGGGATTACTAGTAATGAGCTTCTTGGGAGGGACTTGTAGGTATGTGATATTAAATGAACACATCTTCCATGGAGGGGTGAAATGCTCTTGTTGCCTACAGTGATACAGTTCACGCAGGTTATAAAACTTAATGCAATTGCACGTTTTCACAATCCATTTAGATCTGTGTGTATTTACCTCTAAACACTTGGTAAGATTCACTGTGACAGTGTCTGGTTCGTTTCTCAACATTCTAATACTGAGTACAGTGTTAATTTCAACAATCCTATCACTGATACTAGAAATACCAAGCTCCTTCCTCATGTTAAGAACTTTTGTAGATTTGGGACAGCCAAGAATAATCCTGAGAGCTTCATTTTGCATTAACTCCAAGGGTCGGAGAGAACTTTCTCTAGCTAATATCAACATGGGAGCAGCATAATCAATTAAGGACCTAACATAGGCTAAGTAGATCATTCTCACAATTCTCACATTAGCACCATAGTTGGGATTGTAGCCAGCAACAGCTTTGAGAGCATTTAGCCTAGCTTTGCATTTCTTGTTTAGTTGTGGTATAGTGGATTTGTTAAAGGGTACATCAGCACCATAGTTGGGATTGTAGCCAGCAACAGCTTTGAGAGCATTTAGCCTAGCTTTGCATTTCTTGGTTAGTTGTGGTATAGTGGATTTGTTAAAGGGTACATCTACACCAAGATATCTAAGTTTTAACGTAGCTAATGATTTCACCCTGCAAATAGATGGGTGGGGGATGTCGTTTGCTTGTTAATATCTTTGTTAGTACTCTGGGTACCTTATTATTCTTATGTTATGTAAATGATATGCCCATCAGTGTCAATTACAAACTCCTACTGTATGCAGATGACAGTGCTCTGTTAGTGTCAGGTAAAGACCCACAAAATATAGCTAATGTAATAACATTAGAACTGGAGTCCTGCAGCAAATGGTTAGTAGACAACAAACTATTGTTACACCTCGGGAAAACTGAAGCCATACTCTTTGGCATGAAACATAAACTGAGAAGGGTAAATAATTTTAATGTCTGGTGTAATGGGGAACCCATCACTTTGGTTTCCTCAGTAAAACATCTGGGAATTCCCTTTGACCCATGCATGTCAGGAGAATTGATAGGGAACAGTGTAGTAAAGAAAGCGAATGCCAGACTGAAGTTCCTGTATAGACAAGCACAGTGTCTACCTACTGAGGCTCGCAGGACCCTATGTCTAGCCCTTATACAATGCCATATGGATTATGCTTGCTCTTCATGGTACTCTGCCTTGACAAAAAAAAACTGAAAGATAGACTGCAAATCACCCAGAACAAAATCGTAAGATTCATCCTGGGGCTGGGACCAAGAGAACATGTAGGCCAGGATGAATTACAGCAGTTGGATATGCTGAATGTTGAAGACAGAGTAAAACAACTGAAGCTAAATCATGTTTATAAAACTGCTCACAAACAGTGTCCAGAATATCTTGCTGTCAATTTTGTCAAGGTTGGGAACCAAAGCAATCATAGTACTAGGGGGAGAGAGCACAACTTTGTAGTACCCACAGTCAGTGGCCAGGTGTCAAACACCTTTTATTGTACAGCAATAAAGGAATGGAACAGACTACCCGCACATGTCAAAGCCAGTCATAGCATGAACCAGTTCAAGAAGAGTGCCAAAAGGTGTCTGATGAATGTAGCTACAGAAAGGGAGGGGAATGATTTTCTATTTTTTAGCTAACATACGTGTAAATTTTACCTTATTCCTAGTAATGACCCTCGTATTGTAGATAGTCTTAATGACCCTCGTGTAGTAGATAGTCTTTTTAGTATGATAATAAGATGTTATCTTCATTATAGAATAATAAGAAAATATTATAACCTTTATAATAATAAGGTAAAAGGACCCCAATGGTAATAAGTCACTGTGTCTGACTTTTTTGGGTTATCCCAGGTTCTCTACACATATGCTGCTGTATGATAATTCTATGTAACTGTATTTGTGTATACCTGAATAAATTTACTTAGCATGGGCCAGTAGGCCTGCTGCAGTGCTCTTTTCTTGTGTTGTTAAATAACTCGGTTCATTTTATTCCTTTTGTATCTTCTTTTACTGTAACTGTTTTTTACACAATTGAGTTACTTAGTTATTTTAATTTTTAATGTTATAAAAATAAATGATTCCTACTGTAACTTGCAGCCAGGCTTTAAATATTAAGGTATTACAAGGACCCCAATGGGAATAAGTCAACCTGACACTTCTAAGTTATCCCAGGTAATTTAGACATACGTTAAACTATGTATGATAATTGTACTTGTGTACTTGTACCTAAATAATTGTACTTGTGTACTTGTATCTAAATAATTGTACTTGTACCTAAATAATTGTACTTGTGTACTTGTAGCTAAATAAACTTTAGAAAGCGATACAAAGGAAGGCTGACCAGCAGCAACGGAGGTCAGGACAAAAATGTTCTATTTTTTTTTTACCTAAATCACCATACTGCCCCAACTGATCACCTAATGACTACTTCTAGAAAATACTGAGGAAATCCTCAGAAGAGTGTGTAGAAAGAAGAGGAAAATGAGTGAAAACAGTAGAAGAGGAAGGTGTGATGCAGACCGGATGATAAGGCTCACCACATCACGCATCAACACTCACTCGTGCTTAATAAATATACCAAGTACTCTTATGCAACATACCTGATAATGAACGAATTAGGCAATGACTCAATGCTTCTCTGATGATAAACCCTGAACCTATGAGGTCCGTGGTAGATGTGAAACACAAAGAAACTCAGTACAAGACTTGACACTACTCCCATCGATAGGGACACCGGTAACTTCCTCTATTTATTTCCTTCTTATTTAAACCTACGTGCCCATATTTCACAAATTACAAGCCCCCGTTACTCTATTAACTAATACCTCGCATCCTCTAAAAATCAATAATATACATACTTTACGAGCGAGTAGAAATTTGCTTAAATAGATGACGTATTTTGCTGGAGTAATATGGCTGTTTGTGGTGGTGCGTAATGGCCGAGCGCGCACCCTGGCGTCTCCCTCCCAAAAGGTGACCATGCGGTCTCTCCCTCACTCACGTTTTGTCGCCGAGATGCTCACTAACACCCGCCAACTTTGAATTATATATTAATCTGTTGTTACCTTTCTAGCTATACCGCTAGTAAGAATGGAGCTGGTAAAAATTAGGGCACTAAAATTAGTGAGATCATTATAATAATTGGGGAAGCGTCAAACCCGAAAGTCATGATATAAATTTTTGGTAACAGAAGTTATAGTAAGTTAGTAAGTTTATTCAGGTATACACAAATACATTTACATATATTATCATACATAGCAGTATGTGCAGAGAACCTAGGATAACCCAGTAAAGTCAGTCAGTGACATTTCCATTGAGGTCCTACCTGAGGAAGAGTTTTACCGGGAGTGTATTCCAGGGATCAACGCCCCCGCGGCCCGGTCCACAACCAGGCCTCCCGGTGGATCAGGGCCTGATCAACCAGGCTGCTACTGCTGGCCTGACTTAGTCCAACGTAAGAACCACAACCCGGCTGATCCGACATTGACTATCTGTCCAGCTCCCTCTTGAAGGCAGCCAGGGGCCTATTGGTAATTCCCCTTATGGCTGGCTGCTTCTCCGCTGATATGTCGTATTCTATTCAAGATTGATGGACTGAACACATCGACTCAAGGTTGAGGGACTGATTACCTCATTCTTCTCCTGTTCTTCAAGTTTCTCCTACGTATGGACTGATGAAGCCACTGTGTGGCGAAACGTTTCCTCAATAAAGATACCCAAGAGTTGCACATGTGTCTAATTTATCAACATGTCGGTTCTCTGAACCATTCATCTACAAATCTGTCAGACACTGCAACTTCTTGGGATCTTAATACTTAGGAATTCTTCGCTTGCCTAATTCTTGGGCACGACCTACTTCCACATTGAACAAATGTGACACGACCTATGACTGCTGCACCTCTCCTGCCATACGGTTTATAAGCTGCTTCTCCGCTGATATGCCGTCACACTCCAAACACATCATGTAAGACACAGTCGCTTCTCACCTCAAGAAGTGTTCCTTCGATCCCCGTCGGGGAGGGGAACCTATAGTCATCGTACCAGCGCCTGACTTACTCCTTCATGATGCTTGCAAACCGTGTAAGGATCAAACCCAACAGTGGAGTAATAAATGACTCTACTAAACTTGCCCTTGCTGCCGCTGTAAAGACTTGCCTACAAGTTAAATTTACAGCCATCCACTCGACGAAAGACTCATTCATCGTCGTCTGTACTGACGATTATGAAGCAACAAAGCTGATCGCCGACACTTCTATGAAAACCCTCAGAGACCGACAGTTCTCCATCTCCCCTTCACCTTTTTTGCTGGCGAAACGTTCCGTTTTCGTCAAACGGCTGGACAAACTCGTCACTTCTTTATCGACTGAGGATCTCAAGACCTCTATCGAGGAACAAAACACCTGGGCGTCGATTGAACTTATCACCAAAATCCCCAACGCCTCTACAATGATCAAGCTAACCTTCTCCAACATCGAGATGGCTACTAGATCACTGTCTGACGGCCTAGCTATCTCCTACTATCATATCCACCCAAGTCACATAGAACCCGAACGTTTCCCCCACATCTCGCCATGCTGGACCGCTACTCCTATCACCACTAAAACGCCTGACTGTCCTCTGAAAGGGAAGAAGTACTGCAAAAACTGCGGTAAAGACGGCCATGACTTAAAAGGAATTTTTCTACTACCACTACCTCCCCTTTACCTGCCTCAACTGCAAGGGTACTCACCACACCCTTGCAGCAAAATCCCCTTACGTAAAAAAGGGTCCTGTCTAAAAAAAATCATTGAAGAAACCAAGAAGAACAACCCTAAATCACCAACATACGCCGCCATTGCAAAAATTCAATCAGATACCACCGAACTCCTTCAGGCTACACAACAATCGTCTCCACCCAGCCAGTCCCTCTGCTCTTCCTGACGCTGCTCCATCCAAGGTGTTATACTGTATGATGTATGCACACCTTACTAATGCTGCAAACCCTGGCTCGAAATGGTATACAATACCGACAGGTTGTTAGGTAAGACACATATGCAACAGTTAGACAACTTTATTCCGAAACGTTTCGCCTACACAGTAGGCTTCTTCAGTCGAATACAGAAAGTAGGCAGGAACAGTAGAGATGTGAAGACGATGTAATCAGTCCATCACCCTTAAAGTCGTAGAATTTGAGGTTGTCAGTCCCTCGGCCTGGAGAAGTTCAGTTCCTGACTATGGAACTGAACTTCTCCAGGCCGAGGGACTGACAACCTCAAATTCTACGACTTTAAGGGTGATGGACTGATTACTCGTCTTCACATCTCTACTGTTCCTGCCCCACTTTCTGTATTCGACTGAAGAAGCCTACTGTGTAGGCGAAACGTTTCGGAATAAAGTTGTCTAACTGTTGCATATGTGTCTTACCTAACAAACCCTGGCTCATTCAACACAACAATCAATGAACTGTTTCGCCTAAACAACATGCCAAACTTCAACTTTCCAGACTCGCCACCATCACAAGACCTCCTCAAGCTAATTCCAGATATTGTTAACTTCACCTCAACCCCTGGTCCTACTCGTATCTCTGACCAAGACTCTACTCCAGAACCAACACCATCGTCTACTGCCACCTCTCACCACCCACCACCAGCCCAACGAATCACGACCGACCAACACTCCCTGCCTCCTCTCAACCAGTCACAGAAGACGAAATAGTACCAGAACATTTTTGAACAACCCTCGGACAACGACGAAGTAGTAGTCGGAAGAAGAAACCACAGGCAACCGTTACCTAAGCCAAACCTTAATGGGTCTTTAACCTTCTACACCACCCCCAACTTCCACCCGAAATGAGCGAGCTGATATGCTCCACTTAATGAAAGAAAAGGAGCTGTTAAGTACACCTGCACCAAAACCTCACCAAATTCCTTTTGAAAACGCCCCTATCTTACCTCGTGGCGAATCTGAACTGCTCCAACCTCAGAATGCAACTATTCCACATGTCCAAGAGAGACTTCAAAAAAACTCAGAGTGGCTCCATCACCAGCGAAGTGTAGCCAAACACACAAACAAACCCCTTTCCCAACACTGACGTCCAAACCAGCTCTTCACCTCAGCCTGAAGCATATCAGTCGGCGAGCACTGTCTGCAGTCTGCTCTCTCCCCCTATGTCCTCAACATGCCCTTCTACACTGCCTCGCAGAGCCACGCAGCTGGGTTTAGCCCCGGCTCTTTCATCTACAACTCAAGACCTTCCTCTCACGACTGTTCATCGTCTGTCCCACTTCCCACCACCCACCGGAGTCGCAACAGAAGAGCCTGCTATGTGTGTTTTTCAATGTCTGTCCACGATCGACTTTGCTGCTGGGTTAAGCCCTGGTTTCTATTTCTACAACTAAGAACACTCCCCTCCAGCACTATTCTTCGTCTGTCCCGTCTTCCCCGCTCATCCCCTTTGGTCTTACTGAATTTCGTTCGTTCGTTCGATAGCCGTATTCTATTCAAGATTGATGGACTGAACACATCGACTCAAGGTTGAGGGGCTGAATTACCTCATTCTTCTCCCGTTCTTCAAGTTTTCCTACGTATGGACTGATGAAGCCACTGTGTGGCGAAACGCTTCCTCAATAAGATACCCCAAGAGTTGCACATGTGTCTAATTTATCAACATGTCGGTTCTCTGAACCATTCATCTACAAATCTGTCAGACACTGCAACTTCTTGGGATCTTAATACTTAGGAATTCTTCGCTTGCCTAATTCTTGGGCACGACCTACTTCCACATTGAACAAATGTGACACGACCTATGACTGCTGCACCTCTCCTGCCATACGGTTTATAAGCTGCTTCTCCGCTGATATGCCGTATTCTATTCAAGATTGATGGACTGAACACATCGACTCAAGGTTGAGGGACTGATTACCTCATTCTTCTCCTGTTCTTCAAGTTTCTCCTACGTATGGACTGATGAAGCCACTGTGTGGCGAAACGTTTCCTCAATAAAGATACCCAAGAGTTGCACATGTGTCTAATTTATCAACTACAGCTTTATACATCATTAGTAAGGCCTCACCTAGATTATGCAGCTCAGTTCTGGTCTCCATATTACAGAATAGACATAAATTCGTTAGAAAACATTCAGCGTAGAATGACTAAATTAATACATAGCATCAGAAATCTTCCTTATGAAGAAAGATTGAAGACTCTTAAATTACATTCACTTGTTAGACGAAAAATGAAGGGAGACATGATCGAAGTGTATAAGTGGAAGATGGGTATTAATAAAGGGGATATTAATAAGGTCTTGAGGATGTCTCTCCAAGAAAGAACCTGCAGTAATGGATTTAAATTAGACAAGTTATGTAATAAAGTTGGTAGAATTACCGACAATATGTAAAGTAAAAGGACACAAGTGCAACTAATGTGACATTTATTGTGGCAACGTTTCGCTCTCCAGGAGCTTTATCAAGCCATTACAAACAATACATGGACACAGAGGGTATATAAAGGCTCAGAGTGAGGTTGTATACTAGTGAGGTACCATTTCGATGTTCACTAGTGGTAGTAGTAGTGGTAGTGACAAAAGTAATAAAATTTATGGAGCTAACCTCCAACAGAAGATCAAACTCAACCCGCAAACTTCAGTCCCTCTGCTCTAACAGTCGATGGAAGGAAATGGGACGTGAATCCCTAAAATAAACAACTTATCGTCAGCACCTTAACCGACTACGAAAAACAAGCACTGAGTCTGGACTCAAATTTTACCACCAACTTTA